ATCTCCAACTACCGACATGTGTATCGCATTTCTGCAGTCATATATCCTTCATGCAGCTATCAGTCAGTCATTTCGTGTCACATGACCTATCGAGTCTGCCATTAGCTTCCAGTTGGTGCGAGACACCGCGTCCTCTCCAGACGCTACTCCTGCCAGTAAACACAAAAACTCACACGCAAACATAATCACCAACAGACTTCCAGGTACCATACAGATCGGTAAAAGACAATTTTTTTGTTGAAGTAACACATGCCACTAGGATAATAACTTACTGTTTTGCCTATTCCAAATTCCCGTCTGCTTGGGTAAAAACGTAGTGTTTTTATGAAACCTTTCCGAACCCGAATTCTGTGTTAATAGAACCGTTGTCTAATTTTACGGAAGTGGAAATTGATTTTCTTCAGAAATGTCTTTTTGTGAGAAAAAAATGTTTGTATGTCTGATGCAAAATTGCGATATCTGGATCTGTAGGAAAATAGAAATTTACACAAATTAGGACATGTCTTTGGTATCAAAATACGTATCTCTTGTCATCTTATAGCATGATGCTTCAGATTCATATCACTTCCCATATATAACAGGAGATGGTGGGGTAGTGTTGTGGTTAAAGCGTTCACTCTTCGCGCTGAAGACCCGGTTCGATTCCCCACATGGGTACAATGTGTGAAGCCCATTTTTGGTTTGCCCCGCCGTGATATTGCTGGAATATTGCTATAAGCAGCGTAAAACCAAACTCACTCACTCACTCTTTAGTATGATGCTTCTAGGTGTTCAGTTTCATATCCCTTCCTATATATAAAGGGGCAATGGGGTAGTCTTGTGGTTAAAGCGTTCACTCTTCGGGCTGAAGACCCGGTTTCATTCCCCACATGGGTACAATGTGTGAAGCCCATTTTTGGTGTCCCTCGCCGTGATATTGCTGGAATATTGCTAAAAGCGGCTTAAAACCAAACTCACTCACTCCCGTAACAAACCTCAGTGTAGGTCAGGGTTAGAATTAGACTGCAGCAACTTGTGAGAGTGAGCAACTGTCAGATGAAGTGACTAGGTACACTGACTTGTTTGATACATGTCCACAATACTATTCAAACAAAGAAATCTATTACTATCAGCATCACTTCTCAGTAAAGCTGTGACGCTATTGAGCATTCTATAAGTCACAGAGTTCGTGCAGGGGATGTGTGTCAGAAGCTGATTTATGAGGAAAGCCAGAAGGGATGCAGGTCTTCAAGATTTGGAAGGAATATTGGAATATGTTTTGGTAAATTTGACAAATTTAATGAAAGAAGTTGCTTGAAGGTTTGGCAAAGGAAGTGGAAGTCTTGGTGGCTGAGCAGGTTAGGCGGCTGACTTTGTGTGCTGGCAATTAGGTGCCTGACTCTGAGGGTGTGGGTTCAAACACCGGAAAGTACTAGAATCGGTACTTTACTAAGATAGTGTAATCCAAAATATAACATATGTTACAAGGATGTTTGTAATTAGAGATTCAGTAGATTGTAAGTTAAGACATAGTAGGATTGTACAGTTAAGCTGGTGGTGTGAAAATTATGACATAGGAAGGATTATCAAATTATGCTGATGATATGGTAAGTTATGAAATAGGTAGAATTGTACAGATGTGTTGGTGATATGGCAAGTTATGACATGGGTAGGATTATACAGTTAAGCTGATGATATGGCTAGTTATAGCACTGTTCATTGTTACTTTAAACAGGGAATTACAGTCAGGAAAAAGTGAACGCAGAGAAACTCGTCTTGCTTAATGAGACTTGACAGAGTTTAGTGTAGCGTAAAGTTGCGATGCCATCAACATTTGTATCTGTCAGTACAACATTGTTGCCATGAGACGTGGACACACAGGCTGAAGCGCAAGTCACACCACATTATTGCCGGAATAAGGGCACATTTTATGAAAGAAAAAAAAAGCAAACATTTTTTGTTCCGCTTCATCGTAACAGTCCATCTTTTGAGCAGTTTGTTGAAGAAACTTTATATTATGTAATAAGCTTGTAATGTAGACATGTAAATGCTAGTAATGTGAGCAAGATTCAGGTGTTTTAGAATTATCGTCTGTTTGAAAAGGATTCTCAAACTTGTTCCTCAAACTGAAATATTCTTCTAGTTCAGCATTCAACAGACTGAACAATTTGTTATTTTAAGATCATATCGAAGTGTTTTTTATGCTTTATGAAACAGAGGTCATGCTGCCTTTAGATTTGAAACGTTCAGTGTCGGGAAATTTGTTTGCCATTACGACTTGTGACATGAAATCAATACTACACTGTTCGTGATTGTTTTCGGGAGAGTAGTGCTAGCGCTGTCCGCGATGTGTAGACACACCTCAACGCACACGAATACATTAATGATTCAGCATGATATGCCAGGTGATTACAGGATATGGGTGACGGGTTGTCTGTTAGCTGATGTCAACATTAAAGAAATCGTTTTCATTCTGAAGGACGAGATTTCTTTACGTTGTTCAGTTGCTTCGTCACGGTTGAAATTCTGTGCGGAGTGAGACACAATGCTCGCTTGTGTTTACATCAGGCGGTTCACTAAGCTACACATAGCAGCATGGATATCATTGAAATGTATTTCATCGTGAGATTAATCTCTGCTCTGTCAGACTGCATGAATATTCGGATTTTACAGTGTCGTTTCTATTTCCTGGGAATTAAATATCTCATTCGAATGCATTAAGTTTATGGTATTGCTTGCGTTACCATGCTCTGGACCTATTTCATGATACTTTGTGAAAAAGGAAATATGCATTGAGATTTGCATAAGATTACGTATGAATCTATTTTAATGCAGGAAGTATGAGCATGAATCTAGGGTTTATTTTTCCATTTTGTACAGATTTAGTCCAACGGCAATCTGTCGTCATATGCACATGAAAATATGAAGCGAGAAAAAGTTTGAAATATGATGACTTTTCATCTGATTGTGTTGGTTTTGCTCTGTAAGGTTACAACATTAAGTCTGGTTTATCCTGGTGCTGCCATGATGTCTGGGAGAGAGGATGGAGTTGTTAAAAACAGCATGTCAGTTCTGTGGAAGATAAGCCTTGTTTAAAACTCACACTCATATGGATGGAACAATTACTGGTTGTTAATTGTTGGCATCAGTAAGAGGAGGGAAATGGAGAACACTCTTCTTCTGACTTAAGGTATCAGTAGCAAAGTGGTTCATACATGCCTTCTCTCTTGTTTAGGATATGTAGTAGGAATATAGCTTCTTGTCTTAAGCGATCTGATTTTGACTGTAGAATATATTTTCTTCTTATGTATGGCTCATTTGCACAACACCAACACCTGAAGATATGCTGTAAATCCAGCTCGGGTACAGCAAAAGTACTGTAAATCCCCATGGTCCCTATTATGGTGATCTATCTTTAATTGCTGGTGATCTACAGCCTGTTTTTATATTGTATTGTTTTCTACAGTGATGTCATTTTATGATAACATGCTGGTTTTAATGTTAAAATCTGTGATACCCTAGTAGTTTTACTGTCCATTGTTGACAGGTTTTTATGTTCTACATTTATTCATTTCTAATGTATAAATTGTTCTCGTCATGATATAGCTCAAATATTGCTGATGTGACGCTAAAAACTCACTCACTATGGTTGTTGAAAGAAGAAACTTAATGTTGGTGGTGAGGTTTTGTGACTTGGATGACGCTTGTCATTGTATTTAATTTGTGTAGATCAGTGCTCTTGATGTCAATCACTAGATAGTCAGGTCCAGAGGGGCGGTGGGGTAGCCTAGTGGTTAAAGCATTGGCTCGTCACAGCGAAGACCCGGGTTCGAATCCCCACATGGGTACAATGTGTGAAGCCCATTTCTGGTGTCCCCCGGCCGTGATGTTGCTGGAATATTGCTAATAGGGGCGTATAACCAAACTCAGTCAGTCAGTGTCAGATCCAGATTTGATTATGTACAGAGTACAACAAACAAACACCCATGCTTATCTCTCAACTGTAGTATTACACTCCTTCACTCTATCACTCACCAAAATGGATAGTAATATGGTTTTAGAAAAACAATAAGATGGATTTCATTATATTACATGATTCACAAAACCGGGTTAGAATTGATCTTCAGTAACCCATGTTAGAGGCGACTAACGGGATTGGGTGGTCGGGGCACTGACTTGGTTGACACATGTCATTGCAGGGCTCCAGATAAGGGCCGTATCAGCGTATGTATGGATATAAAATAAGCGCGATACGGTAGGAAACAATTTTAAAAACGTAGCAGATACGGACCACAGCAATGGTGTATGGTTTCAGAATCATTTACAGACGTATTTATCTGAAAAAGTATTGTTTTATTGTTTACTGACCTGTTAACACAAGAGTAGCAATGTTGTGGTGCATATATGAAACAAAACACAAGATTACTGATACACCATTAAATTCCATTCAGTACTCTAAATGTACTCTTATTGTTTTCCAGTACTCATATATTGAAAAAATAGGGAGTACGTACTCCTGATCATGAAAAATTATCTGGAGCCCTGTCATTGTATCCCAATTGTGTACATCGACATTCATGCTGTTGATCACTGGATTGTCTGGTCCAGACTCAATTATTTATAGACCACCGTCATATACCTGGAATATTGCTTAATATGCCGTTAAACAACAACCAATCCAATCCATGATTCACAAAACTGATTTTGTTTAGCTTAGATGCTATTAATCCAGAAAAGGTTTGATGGCCATCAAAATCTAATGATATATATGAAATGTACTTTTGATGAATAAATGTCTTGTTTGTTATTTCAGTAAAATTTTGTAATAGAGTAATAAAATTAAATTAAATAGAGACTAGGGTATGTGATACATTTCCGTATCAACATCTGGCGATAGTGTTTTATATCCCATAAACATCTATGATGAATAAGTATCTTGTTTGTTTTACAGAGCCGCTGAACAGCTTAATTAGTTGGAAGTCAGGCGACATGTAACTTTACTGTTATTATTATTATTTCAGGTACATGTACTGGACGGACTGGGGCGAGAATCCAAAGATTGAGCGTGCAGGAATGGATGGAAGCAAGTGGAGTAGAACAGAAATAATAAAAGATAATATTTTCTGGCCAAATGGTCTGACCCTTGACTACGATGATTCTAAAATATACTGGGCAGACGCCAAATTAAGCTTTATTCACCGCTGTGATTTTGACGGATCTAATCGTCAGGAGGTGATTGCTGGCGAACTCCCTCACCCTTTCGCATTGACTCTGTACGAGAAAACGCTATACTGGACGGATTGGCAGACAAGATCAATACACAAATGCAACAAGCTCACTGGTCAGCAACAATGGACTGTTCACGAAGAAATATACTCTCCAATGGACATTCATGTCTACACTGCCAAGAGGCAACCCAAGGGTAAGCCGAAATAGACTGTTTTATTTTCATGTATGGGAAGCTAACAATGATTGCTGGTTCTGGATTTCCATGTTGTGAATAGTTACTGACAGTGATAGACAGTGTCTTGGAAACAGTGTGTGTAAACTGACATTTTATGTGTAAAAGAATCGCAGCTATTTCCACACATATACAGCCAGCATAAGTAGTGTTTTCGACTTCTTGGTAGCCAGGTTTGATGGGGGTATAATCATACTTAAATGATGAGAAGGATTCATTTTTGTCAATAAACTGCTCAACTTTTGGTAAGGATATACCTGCTTAAGAAATTCAGTTCGCTCTACCACCATGTATAGTGTAATATTAAAACACACTGTTCGCCCTGAACTATTATAGTTAAAGTACAAGCATCCTCGCTTTAACTAAGGATAGGGCTTGAAATTACGATTAATTAAAGGCAGAAACAATGGTGATAGGTGACCTAAATTATTACGATTAATTCTCACACAGTATGTGGATAACTGGCTGGCTGTTCTATTGTTGTGTCTGCCCCCTACATTAAGATGAACATTACCAGAAAAAACAAATGATAAAGCGGTTTGATGATGGATTACGTTCAGATTAAATATCTTCTTTAAATTATTTTAATTACATCTGGGATTAACGTAAACCATATCGGGCAATATGAACGTCGCATTTCTACTACCAACGTTTAGATCAGTACATCCAGATGAAGCTGAGTAGTCAAGCGACATTCCACGATTGCACTGTGGGAATGTAAACATTGCGAACGTTACCGCGTTGCTGAGAACTTGTGAGTCGAATTGAGACATTTTAACCATCGTAAAACATAAACGTAATGTTCCACCAGTGATGTTAGCTGTGTGAAGCAACTGCAAACCAAGAAACGAGATGCAACGGAGTAGTTTACTGTAGGAGGCTGTACGAGGGAATGACAACTGACATGCATCGTGACGTCACTTACATTGTGATGTAATGCAAAAAGTGTTCGATCACGAGGGGGTAGACTAGAATGGCGCAGTGATGCCAATTCATTGTGACGTAATCCAAGAAGTGCACATTATCTGATAAAGTACTGTTGGCGCCTTAGATCTTTCACCGAAGCATCTTAGAATTTGTCATAATAGTCCCACTAAGACCAGGGACCCTATCCACAAAGCATTCGTAGCATTACATCATTTGTAAGCCAATGATGTAGTATAGCGTTACGATAGGTCGTAACGTTACGAATGCTTTGTGGATCTGGACCCAGGTTTATTTTTTTGGTTTGGAGGTCTGCTGTTTCTAAAGTTACCAGAAATCATGGTTAAAATATATATTAACATTAACATGTGTTTATTTTTGCCAGTATGATTTCACAGTTTGGTGATTTAAAAGAATAAAATTTACGTTGCCATTGACATTGGGAAATCTCTTCTACTGTTAAGATTCCACTGTTAAGTGAAGAAAAAATACAGTTTTATGTAGTAATGAACATCGAAAGTTTTCATGAAGTTCCTTGACATGACTATTAATGAGCTCTTCAAGAATATTACTGACACTATTGTTGAGTTTATACGAACAGGCATCAACTCTGTACTTGTATATCACTTATCTCCCCTTAATGATGACAGATGATGCATGTTTATAGATGTGTAAAAACTAAATGCTAAATTTAATGTAAATTAGATATATTTTTATTTATATGTCTTTACTTCAACACACAAAAACGAGAACCATGATCAAGCATTGTGGTCTTACGTAGTAATTACAGGTGTAGGTACCAAGAAGTACCTGTGTATCCTTATCAAAAGGGGCGGTGGGGTAGCCTAGTGGTTAAAGGCTTGTCACGCCGAAGACCCGGGTTCGAATCCCCACATGGGTACAATGTGTGAAGCCCATTTCTGGTGTCCCCCTGCCGTGATGTTGCTGGAATATTGCTAAAAGCGGCGTAAAACCAAACTCAGTCAGTCAGTCAGTCCTTATCAAAAGTTGAACAGTATATGAAACATTTACCATGTGTTGAATACATTGTTTTCTGAAAATGATGAAGAAAGGAAACTCTGTGTTCATTTTAGTCCATTTTTTTTAAAATTTAAAATGAAAATGTCTAATTTTCGTTGGGTGGCTTATCAGTGGGTGATTCCTTCAGTTGAACTTGTTGCCAGAGGGGATGAGCTGAAGTATAGATAGAGCTAATTACGAGCAGAGACGTATAACCTCAGTGAATTTAGAGGGAGATAATAGAGTTAGCAGCCAGTAGGCAGGTAGATACAGGCTTATCAGTTAGGTGGTGAATATGTACTGTTATCAGATGGCGCTGGAGGCGGGATGTTATTGCCTGGTTATCACATACTGGATTGAGAGGCATGTGGCACATGTCAGTTAGACAAGCTGGCAGGGGGCAGGGGAGGTCAGTACCTACAGCAGTGGAGCTATAGGGTCAGGGTGGGGCTGGATGAGGGGGTGAAGAAGGATGAAGGGTGAAGCTGGATGAGGGGTGGGGATGGAGGAATGTGTGTGGCTGGAGGAAGGGGTTTGGATGGAGGAGGAGGTTGGGACGGAGGAGGGTGTGTGGCTGGATGAGGGGTGGGGATGGAAGAGGGTGTGTGGCTGAAGGACTGGGTGGGGCTAGAAGAGGGATGGGGGTGGGGATGGAGGTGTATGGGATGGGATGGACATTTTGACATACACAGATCTTTTGTACCCAGCCTAGAATTATATTTTTTTCCTAGAAATAAAGTTATCTTTTTTTTAGATGTATTCCTATAAAATATGAAATAAGATCCACAATGGTAATTTCTTATAAGATCATTCCAGACTTTAGTTGAATTTTTTAATAAATTTTCTGGGCTCCATAAGACAGACTTTCCTGATTATGTATACAGTTATCTTGATACCTTATCATCATAAAGTGTAACAAGAAGCATCTTTGGGATGGAAATTGATGCAAGATTGTTGAAATTCAAAATTATTTCTAATAATATCCAGTTCATTGCTGTATCTAGATTTAGTATGCTTGCATTCAATAATGCTTCATATATCGTGGCAGTTAAACAAAGCCTTGTTGTGTTGTCATCAGTAGAGCAAGTTGGAAGACTTTTCAAGGATTAGTTGAATTCATAACTGTTATATTCATCCTATGTAGAAGAGTGTTGTTTGAATTCTGATGGATTAAGGTTCTTAGAGATCTTGTTATATACTGCTCAGAAGAATGTTAAGGAATTCCTTATTCTTTCATATTGCTGTAGTTCTTAACAACTGATATGAAGGAATCAGGTGTTCCTTAACTTGTTTTGAGTAGTATATGTACAGGTCTCAAAGAAGTCTGTTAATATAACATATAACATTGTGTTGTATGGGGTAAAACGGTGCTTTAATACACTTGAACTGTGATGTATTCTTCAGTTACCAATACGAAGAAACCATCAACATTTTGAAAGTCGGCTTTAGAAAAAGTTGTATTTGAGGAATTTTGATATGAAGAACAACACAATTTGATATCTGCTTGATAAACATGTTTCACAGATAGTTAAGTTCGAGGAATGACACAGGAAGACATTTTCAAAATAATTCCTCTGTGGCGGCAATACGGATCAGTGTATATATCCCACAGCTGGTAAATACGAAACATGATTTGTCTGCAAGTATAAACATTTGCGCAGCATTTCGTTTAGTGGAACAGACACCCTGGTGCAGCTGTGAAATAATGGAATATGCTGGTATTAAATGTCTGCCTCGGCATCTGACGAGGCACTCTATGGTCAGCTGGGAGTCTGGCGTGCAGGTCAGGTGGAGGTTCTGGGGCTGCTCTGGAACACTTGATTAGTTTACGATGAGTTCAGCAAGTCTGTTCTGCTCGGGTTCTGATAACATCAAGAGAGATCACAAGACAAAGATGTGCATAGCGCCACTACTACCTATGTTCTGTTCCTGTGCTGTTCCTGTTTGTTAATGAAAGAAATGGATCCACATTGTGGGGTCTGGCTGGTGGTATTTGTTTCTGAAGCAGAATTCTTGCAAGGTCATTATGATATTGTGAAAACAGAGAAGTCGACTGCGGCTGAAGTACACGTGATATACAAATTTAAATAGGGCAGATATCTAGGAATTATTGGTGTTCTTGTAGAAGATCTATTTGTTCCTGTAAGGGTTCTACAAGATGTTCTTGCAGCATTGTGGGGTCTGGTGGTGGTATTTGTTTCCGAAGCAGACACTTTCTTGCCAGGTCATTATGATATTGTGAAAACAGAGAGGTTGACTGTGATATACAAGTACAAATAGGGCTGATGCCTATGAATTATTGGTGTTCTTGCAGGAGATCTGTATGTTCAAGAACGCCACACGTTTTATGCCACACTCAGCAATATTCCAGCTGTATGGCAGCGGTCTGTAATTAATCGAGTCTGGACCAGACAAACCAGCATCATCAGCATGAGCGTCAATCTACGTAATTGGGATATGATGACATGTGTCAACCAAGTCAGCGAGCCTGACCACCTGATCCCGTTAGTTGCCTCTTACGACAAGCATGGTTACTGAAGGTCAATTCTGACCTTGATCTTCTCGGGTCCCCAAAGGATGAGATGTTGGTCCTAATGTCAAACACTGGTTTGTATGACCCAGATTCAATCATTCACCAGGAGCCATGATATATCAGAAGTGTTACTGACTCTAGCATAGAACAACACACACGCATTCACTTATGCTAACAGGAATGTTCGACATGCAGACTGTATTGGATTAAGCGCAATTTGTGACAAAATAAATCAAGAAAAAATAAAGTGGGATTTGTTAGCTAAGGGAGTTGCAACACTGGTCTGTTAGCATTTTCTACCTGAAGAAGGTGAATACTCGTTAACAGGATTCAGTTCCTGTTGTGATGAGATGCGCCAGGTGGCACAGGTAGGTTCCGAAGACACTTGATCAGACCCGGTCTGGCCTGGCGGAGGCGTATACCCCCTGGCACTGTGGAGATATTTACTGGACGGAGGTTTTGTTCCTGTTCCGATGTAATAGAGGGAGGTGTTTGGGAATACAGTGTGTAAGCTTTACTTAGTTAATGAGATGGGAGGGCTTTTTGCAATTGGCTTAATTTGTATGAAGAAAAAAATGCATCTGTTTGGTTTTCGGCAAAACAAGGCGTTATAGTTTAGATTGGATGCCACCTTGCTTTCTTCATTATTTTCCGGTGTAAGTAATTAGCCTGTGCCCCTAGGCTGTTGAAAGAGCAGGTTGTGTTAGAATTGGTATTGGAAAAGACGTCATCATTTAACACATGGTTAGATTGAGGAAGATAGAATAGGTGTGACTTTTGATGCATCATACATGATGCTAATACTTGTACAAGTTATCAGTATTATTGATTGCTTTAGGAATCAGTGAGTGAGTGAGTTTGGTTTTACAACGCTTTTAGCAATATTCCAGCAATATCACGGCGGGGGACACCAGGAATGGGCTTAACACATTGTACCCATGTGGGGAATCGAACCCGGGTTTTCAGAGTGACGAGCGAATGCCTTAACCACTAGGCTACCCCACCACCCCTTTAGGAATCAGTATCAGATGTGTTGTACATGACCTGAGGGTAACACTGGTACAAGCTATCTGGATTCAAGTCAACAACTGCTCTACACTATTGTTAGTATTTAATGTTTCTCTTCCATTCAGATTGATCTAAAATAGACTTAGGTTGTTTTTATTCTGTATTTTTATGAATTTGTAGCACACAAAACTGTGCAAGGCCTTGCTTGTACAACCAATCACAGGTCAAGGCCGACATGTCTGTATTTCGTCATGTTGAAATATGTGAGAACTGTGGAGTCAGGTTAAGATACTATTACAGAAGACATGCCTCGAGTGAGTGAGTATGGTTTTACACCACTTTTAGCACTATTCCAGCAATAGACTAAGAACTAGTCTCTGAAATGAACATATTTTACTGAAAAAGTTCATAGTAAAAAAAACATATATAATGAAAAGGAGCCCTGAGACTTTCTTCAAGCTGTGGAAATCTAGACTTGCCATATTTTCTAGACTTGCGTGGGCTTTCTTGGATATATTTGCTTCAGGGTCTGTACGAGAGACTATTCCAGCAATAACGTGGCAGGGGACACCAGAAATGGGCTTCACACATTGTGCCCTTGTGGGGAATCGAACCAGGGTCTTCGGTGTGATATGCGAACGCTTTAACCACTAGGCTACTTCACCACCAATAGTCTCAAGAGTCACTTTAGGTGAATGTTAGTTAACTACTGTAATACAATAATAAAATCAGTATGTTAATTTCTGTGACATCCAAATATTCAGAATACAACCTTAAATGATAAGTAGGGAGAGTTAATCGTTAGGAGTGAATGGCTTGGTGATGGATCTTATTTCACGAAGGTTTAGCTAGGGCTTCGTTCAAGCTCACAGATGTTGGAGTAGATTCAGGTAGCAATCCCTCACCTGATTAAGCATTTGTTAGAGTGTCGAGGTCAGTAAATGATGAGGACATTGTAAGGACACAGACAGAAGAGGGTCTGTTCTTGAATGTAGGCTATGCATTAACTAGTCCCAGCTACCAGACAGTGTGTCCTCCCTCCCCTACCTGAGACAGTGATTACAAGGTAAACAGCTGTTACCTGTCCAGGTAGATACATCAAGGTAATTAAGCATCCAGGTGTCTGCTTGTACCTGTCACAGTTCAGGTGGGTGGGGAAGAGGCTGCTCTTGGAAACATACGATGCACAATAGTGAGGTTTCTCAATACACTCTTGGGAAATTGTACTGATGTTGCTTTTAGTAATCCTTACAAGGGAGTCGCCAGCACAGTTACTAGAAACATGATAAAAATAGAATTTGAAATGTGATGTACTTGCAACACTTTACTTTAATAACTGGGGACATAAGTTTGAAGGTGTTAATTTGGACATGAGTAGGAAATTTTAGGGCTTCAGGCCACTATGTTAAAAGACACCATGTTCTGTTAGTGACTATGTGAAGTTATACTATGTTCTGTTGGGGACTATGTGAAGTTATACCATGTTCTGTTGGTGACTATGTGAAGTTATATCATGTTCTGTTGGTGACTATGTGAAGTTATACCATGTTCTGTTAAGGACATGTGAAGTTATACCATGTTCTGTCAGGGCCTATGTGAAGTTATACCATGTTCTGTTGGGAACTATGTGAAGTTATACCATATTTCTCTTTTGACTCTGAAGTTATAAGTTATGTTGTTAATATGTGAAGCATACCATGATTTGGCACATGAGGATTCTGGTTTAGGAAACTATGCCGGTCATAAAATAGACATTTTGGATCGGGTGATCTGGTGATCAGACTTGTTTCATCACATATCATCGACCATACAACATTTGTTGCTCATGACATCAACCACTGGCCCAGATTTATTATTTCCGAGTTGCCTTCATTTATCTGAAATATTGCAGAGTGTGACATTGAACAACAAACAAGCAAGAGCATACTACCATCTGCTTGGCTGTACATATTGAGTGTTGTACTAATTCAGATTGTTTTTAATTACTTCTTTCAGATTTGAGAAAAACCCGAGGTATATAGTTGTTGTATTCCTTAACTGTCATGCTGTGCTGCTTTAGACTAATTAATTGTTGTTAATTATCAGCACTAATTTTAAACTTGTCTGTTTTTGCTGCTTGAAATTAAGTTATAGAACTATTTGTTTATCATTTGTACTGTGAGAATTCTTGAAACTGATTCCGTTTTGTTGTGGCACGTTTAAACATTCAGTGTCTTTTCATGTTCTTTGTTCAGTGTTATGAAATTTTCACTTTTGTAGGAATCTGTCTGGTGTTCCTGTTTAGTTTCCTCTGTTGTTTCATTTTGGCTGTAAATTCATCCATTGACTTCTCTAGCTTTGATTATCATTGTAAAATGTTTGCCAGTTACACTAATTTTACATGTTGTAATCAAAGTATATTTTGTCAATGTTGACGGAAGGCAGTCATACAGAAAATCAGATAATTGTTGAATGTTTTCTTTAACTCTTATTAAGCCTTTCATTGTGAAAAATTACGTGTTAATGTTGCATGGAAAGTAGTACCCAAATCACTAATCTCCAGTTTTGCAATTATTAGTCAACAAATGATGTAACACAAGGGCATTTAAGACCTGATTTTGATTTGTAAGTTTAGTGAAGTCTGTACTGCTGCAGACATTATTGGCACAGATTTAACTTCAAAGTTTGAATGTCTTTCAAATATGGTAATGCCTTCTTGTATGGAATTGTGGGATATTCATCTGAATAATAATGGATGATGTGATGTGATCTGTTCAACTAAAAGTAGTAGTTAGGAGAATATGTTTACTTTGAAGACAGAGTGTATATGTACAGTCCTAGACCAGAACAAATCTTTAAGGCAATGATTGTATTTTAAATCATAATTTCTAGACATGACTGCAGTTTTTCTTTAGTGATCTGTTGAACTAGAAATAGTTGTGAGGAGAATATGTTTTATTTGAAGATAGGTTGTATGAGTACAGTTCTGGGCCGGTACAAATCTTTACAGCAAAGATTAACGTTTTATCATAATTTCAATATTATATATATATATACGCTTAGAATAAGTTGACCCAATTAAAGACAAGTATCTTTAGTCCTTAATCTGTGTGTTGATCTAAACTTGTCTGTTATAAAGATAGAATTGGTGCACATCAGTGGAGACTTAGAGCAAGGCTAGCACAATCCTGAATGGGCACACATACTCAGTGGGAGTTAAGACTTGGCATGTACAACATGTTGGGTTGGGTTAAAGTGGGGCGAGGCAGGGTGTGGTTAGGGTGGGGAGGGGAGGAATGGGCGGAGACAGGAGGGTGGGGCTGACAAGTACTCAATGGGAATGACGCTTGCTGTAGAGTACAGAGTACTTGGTTGGTGTAGGTTTTGGGTGGGGTGGTGACAGTAGTTCAGTGGGGTGGTGATTGATAAGAAGGGTGAAGGGGAGGCCAGGTACAAGAGGGCTGGGTCAACGACAGGTACTTTGTGAAGATTGAACATGGTATACACAACATTATGTTGGAAAGGAAAGGGGTGGGAGTGTTACGGAATGGAGTTAGAAAGCAAAATGTAGATATTAAAAATATATTTACTGAAATAACATGAAAAAAACTTTGGAATTTCAGAAATATTATCAAACAAACTGACAGTAAATTAAAAATGTGGTATGCAGTACTGAGACCTGAAAGCATAAAGAAATTGCAGTTTTGTTGTCTAGGTTTGAATCCCCATTGACATTGCCATTCCAGGCAGTTCTCTCACTTTATTGAACAAACTTTATGGATAACAACTTCTTTCATTTCGTGAGTGCAACATTTTGATACAGATTCTTGTACCGTTGTTAAGCAGGACAACGATCTTTATCCAGCCTCATGTAAGAATGTCGAGTTTTGATTGGTTCACGTGACTCTGATAAAATACCATGTACACCGTCACGATCCACGAGCAGGGAGTACAAAAGTCATATTATCCCGCCACACCTCGGTGACCACGCGAAGTGAGAAAAGCGTGCATCGCCAAGCCTTTAGTAACGTGCGCTGCATTGATGTCAATCGATCAGCTGTTGTCAACATGGCAGCAAGGAAACGTTTTATACTGTGACCCGTAATCTGTGAACCTTGGCATCTCACATAAATAAAAACAAGTCGATTCGATGCGTATTGTTTTCTTTTGATTTAGTAAAAACATTCGGCTAGATAAATGCGTTATCACATCGTGTCTCGGGAAATACGGGGTTTTATCAGCCCCTCGTAAGGTTGTATTCCGTTTTATCAGTCCCTCGTAAGGTTGTATTCCATTTTATCAGTCCCTCGTAAGGTTATATTCCCCTCGCCTCCGGCTGACCGAGGGACTGATAAAGCCCCGTATTTCCCGAGACACGATGTGATAACTAATAGTATCGAAACATCGCACTCACGAAATAAAAGAAGTTGTTATCCATAAAGTTTGCTCATTATTGTACTTTTCCAACTTCTAAATGCAACTCAAAGAAGTTCTCTCAATTACTAAAAGCCAAAATCCACTTCATGTCATCAGTGGTTCGTGTCCAGGGAATATATGCAAATATAAGGGAGTGTTGACTAACGTTTTTCTTCGTGTATATGTTCATATTACAAACTTTAGAATCTATTCTGTTTTACTTTTATGCTTCTGGGGCATGGTTTTTAACCTTTGGCTTCATGGATAGTTTTAGATAGATTACATCTGAGATCTGGTATTTTAGGATAATTATATCAGAAAACATTAATTGTGATTTTCTAAGTGTATGTAATTCATCACATGTGTTACATAAAGAGTCTTTAATGTAAAAGTATTTTCATTCATGGTAAGAAATGTTTGTTCCTTAAAAATTTACAAACATTCCATGTTGAGAAACAGGTTCATGAATACATGACGGTTTTATGAAAGCTATTAAGTGAGACTTTAGGGACGTTAACAATGAAGTGCGAGTTGTTTATTTGCTTTTGTCTGATCGGCGCTTCCACAGGCACTGAATAACCTGTGTTAATACTTGGACATAAGTGACGTAGCTCTCGGTTAACACGTAGATTATGAAAACAAACATTCATGACATACTATAATGGTGACCTTTTCCATATGTCTGCTGTCGTCACTGCACTTATATTTTTGCCTCAGACTGGTTCTATGTGTGTGTTCCAAAGCCCAAAACAATAATTAATTTCATTATGAACCCCAAAGTGCTTCAAGATAAGTCTTAGAGTGTTTGTCAATTTTATGATTTCTTTTGGAAACCTGAGTAAGGTTATACGTGAAAATGGTATCTGAACAAAATTTGAAGGGTGTTGTAACACAATCAGAAACATTGATAAAAACTGTTGCAATATGCAATCAAAATTCTCTAGTGAGGTAGGAGGGGACGAATGTTATCGTGCACTGCGGTGAAGTTGGGAGGAAATTAGTTTTATTAAAATTTAAATATGTCGGTGCTGCCAAGGTGAGCTGTGGAATGGGCCATTCTGGTTCAGGCTGATTGGGTCCAGGACCCCTCTCTCCCTCCACTGGGAACAGGGGCAGGTTAACTCGTAATCTGAAACACATGGGTGATCTCGAGGTGCGCCTGATCTTGAGGCCCGCCCAGCACTCTGATGGGAACCAAATGGAAGGAACATTTTAGCATTGAAGAAAGGTCATTTCCTTATGTGGTATTTTGAAATATCAGAATCATTCTGATTGGCTGCATTCTTTTTTCCACAAGGGGTGTATACAAGTTTGAACATTGTGTCATTGGTTAGGTGTTAGCTTAGATGTCATTACGGAAATTATTTACTGTTTCTTTGAAATTGTTACACGGCTTTGAAAGGTTTTAGATGTGATAATGTGAGATGAAATGTGAGATGATTCCTGTTGCAATGTGGCTTGTGTGTAATGTCAAACTTAAAAGAGTTCAACATTAATGTGTCTGGGATCATGAAACAGAACCTTTAACCAGTTCAACATAAATGTAACATACATCAAATATACATTATCTTCACATCTAACATTTTGGTAATATTTTGTTTTGAAATGTCTGTTTGTCATTGAAATAATGTTGTGTATATATATCAAAGGCAACGACACAGTTTGATATTTGCATTTTTGGTTAGTTGTTTCTTTTAAGAAGTTTAGGCAAAAAAGATCAGTTTGGAATGTAAATATTTTACAAACAAGTATGACTAATAAAGTTATAAAGTGTGTGTGTGTGAGAGAGAGAGAAAGATATATATATATATGTATGTGTGTGTTTGAGAGAGAATATATATATATGTGTGTGTGTGTGTGTATATAGACAGAGAGAGCGAAAGAGAGGTAAGGGTAATGAAGAATCATGGTTTTTGCTTCATCAAAGGTGATGTGAAGTATCTATCATTGTGAGTTGACAGAAAGAACAATAAGAGAAGAAACAAGGGAATTATAATCTCGATTTCTTTGCACGGAAGACCTCTCTTCTTCCCGGAAAAGACTGATAGGTGTATTTGACTATTTAACTAAAAATTTCAGATGTATGAGTTACTGCAACTGAGTCCAGCTTGTGAGAGTTACCCCCCTTTACTTTACATGTGACCTTTGTGTTTCAGGGATGAATCCTTGTGGTAACAACAATGGCGGATGTTCTCATCTCTGCCTCATGTCACCGAAGGAACCATTTTATGCCTGTGCTTGTCTGACTGGTGTCAAACTGCTGGCAAACAACAAGACGTGTGCTGATGGTAAGACCAACAGCGTCGCCATTTTGGTGTGGGAGTTAACAGGATCGCAGAAAAGTTTTGACTGTCTAAAGATCATTTAAATATACTTGATAAACATGGTGGTGGGTAACAGGGTGGTTAAAGGAAAGAATTTTTATTGTCCACATTTTATGAATTGTATCCTTTGTTGTACATACTACTGAAGTATTTGGGTCTGATTTGAATACGGAATCTTATCGATTAAATTTTATTGTGATGTCTGTAAATAACAAACACAAATATTGCAACAAAACTTCTAAAACTGACCTCTTGTTCTATCATTTTCCTGTTCTGTGACCTAAATCTGTTACATATTTGTTTTCAGGGCCCCAGAAGAATTTGTTTTTAGCTCGAAGAACAGACCTCCGAAGAATCTCCTTGGATACGCCAGACTACACTGATGTCGTCCTCCCCCTGGACAACATTCGCCATGCCATTGCCATCGACTACGACCCCGTGGAGGGATATGTGTACTGGACAGATGATGAAGTGCAGTCCATTCGCAGAGCACAGTTGGATGGGACAAGTTCGTAAACCAAAAATATAGTTCTTAAAGATCAAGACATTATACACTACTTTTAAATGGGATCAACATATTTTAGACTTCAGTAGAATATATTATGAAATGATGTTATATAAAATGAGATTGGCTGCCACATCAGCAAATGAAAATCATGACTTTAACGCGAACTAAGTCTCTTTACATGAGTGAGTGAGTTTAGTTTTATGCCACACTCAGCATTATTCCAGCTATATGGTGGCAGTCTGTAAATAATCGAGTCCGAACCAGACAATCCAGTGGTCAACAGCATGAGCATCAATCTGCTCAATTGGGTATCGATGACATGCGACAACCAAGTCAGCGAGTCTGACCACCTGATCCCCTCAGTCGCCTCTTACGACAGGCATGGGTTACTGAAGGCCAGTATTGTAACCCGGACCTTCACGGGTGTTTACATGTGTATTCAGTTCAAGTGAGGAAATTTTGTAAATCCTGTATTCATTTACATGTGGAAATGTCTGGTTTGACCTTCACCTTAATTGTAGGTCAAGAAGTGTTGATCAACACGGAAGTGGACCATCCTGACGGGATAGCTATAGATTGGATTGGACGGAATTTGTACTGGACAGATACAGGCACGGACAGAATCGAAGTGGCTCGTCTAAACGGCACTTACCGAAAAGTGCTCATCTCCGACAAACTGGACGAACCTCGGGCCATATGCTTGGATCCTGTCGCAGGGTAAGTCTTGCCATTGTGGAGGAAACCATTTGTGGTTTTGTCAAGTGCTACTTAAGGAGTTATGACAATCAGTATCATCTGACATAGATATCACTTCCTGTGGCCATACTGGAACCACTTAAACGGGTCACTGACAAAGCAAGCAAATCAGGGCTGGGAGTACTATATTAAGTGTGTCATGTAGATTTTGAAATTGATGCTAGTCTGCTGGTGCGTGTCTACTTAATTCTGCTTGGGACAAGTATTATCCAATGAGACAATCTGTATTAACTATTTCCGTGCGTGTTTATGGTTCTGCATCAGTTCTTAAAGTTTAAGTTTCTTCAAACTGACTGAATGAAATGTTCTCATGGTAAATGAATTTCTTGTTTAAGCCAGACAAAAGTTATTACATTTGCACCAGTTCTTTGGATGGCTCTTAAGAATACAATATTTCTAAGGATGTCGTGTTCAATGTCAACATATTAGTGTAGTTGAAAAACTGGTGACAATTAGGGACATTTGTGTTTTTGGATGATTAATCTAAGCCCAGGTTAAAGTAGCTGAAAGAAGTCCTATGAGAGCACACTTCACAAAGCAGGTGTCCTCCATGGGAGTTTGTTTATTGTTTGTTTTTAACGCCATAGTCTGCAATATTCAAGCTAAATGGCAGCAGTCGCAAATAATTGAGTCTGGACCAGACAATAAAGTGATAGACAAAATGAGCATAAATTGACACTATTGGTATATGATGACAGCAATCTTGAGCACCTGATCCTGTTAGTCACCTCTTACAACTAGTATAGGTTGCTGAAGACCAGTATAACCCAGATCTTCACGGGTCCCTCCATGTGAAGATAAGGGTTAGAAAAAAATGATTGACAAAATGAGCATAAATTGACACAATTGGTATATGATGACAGCAATCTTGACCACCTGATCCTGTTAGTCACCTCTTACAACAAGTATAGGTTGCTGAAGACCAGTTCTAACCCAGATCTTCACGGGTCCCTCCATGTAAAGATAAGGGTTAGAATTGGTCTTCAGCAACCCTTGCTTCAAAGAGGCAGCCATGCTGGTTTTAAGAGGTCACTGACAGGATTTGATGGTCAATGCTAAACCAAGAATAGGGAACCAGGGTTTGCTTCCCATTTTTTTTCAAATTATATTTTCTGACCTTGGCTTGACTAGTGCAGAATAACAACCTGCTGGTCAGATATAATGATGTGGTAGTGGAATCAAGATTTTAAACTTTTTATCCCCCAGAAATTGATGGTAGTTTTTTTCTGGAGCAGAACTTGAAAACCATTCAATGTTTCTTCACCCAATTTGGCACATATATAGGTCTAGTTGTGAACTGGTTTCTTTTGGTAGTTTTGAATTTCTGAATAAAACAATTTTTGTATTTCCATGGCAACAACTTTGACTTGGACTGAAATTGGTGGTATCAATCCTTTCCTGAACAGAAATTAAAAACCTTTCAATATTCTCTTTCCATTTTGTGGGTATCCAAGAACCTAGTGACATAAATCAACAGTACCACTCTATATCAACATTACTGAGGTTACATCAAACCGTTCATTTGACATAGTCATAACTAGTTGACATATTCTTGAAGAGTATTTTACCATTGCGGGGGATATTGATGACTTTGTCTTCTTGTTCTACATGATATAATGTTTTACCTTTTTCTATAGGCACATGTATTGGACGGACTGGGGAAAGCACCCAAAGATCGAGCGTGCCAACCTTGACGGGACAGATCGCGTGGTCCTTATCAACACAACGCTAGGCTGGCCCAATGGTCTTGCCCTGGATTTCCAGACACACCGCATGTACTGGGGCGATGCCAAGACGGACATGATCGAGATGGCCACCTTTGAGGGCGAGAACAGAACCGTGCTGGTTCGAGACAGTTTGCCTCACATCTTTGGATTTAGTCTTCTAGGTGAGCTGGCGGAAAGATGATGATAATGATGATGAAGATTGTGGAGGTGCTAAGATCAAGTTAGCTGTCAGTAGCGACCAACCCATTTCTTATTCTTGGAGAGTGGGGTTTATTTGAACACAAAACCAATTGTTCCAGAAAGATGTTATTTGTCATCCAGTTGGTCTTCAGTTTCATCAATACATTCAATCTGTCTTAACTCTTTTGTTCCAGATGACTATGTATACTGGACAGACTGGCAGCACCGCTCCATTGAAAGGGTTAACAAATACACAGGGGATGATAGAGTGACCATCATCGAGCAGCTGCCAGATCTTATGGGGTTAAAGGCTGTCAACGTGAAGAAGGCTGAAGGTAACACTGACGTGATGTCAATCTGCAACTTACTCCACACTACCTTCAGCTTGTAGAACTGCAAACAGCTTGCTGGACTGTCAGAGGCCGCTACTCTGAGTAGTCTCGCAGAAAATTCATTTACTGCAGAATATGTTTTGGGCACCGTGTTAGGGATCTGCAACCTAGTCTGCACTACCCTCAGCTTGTAGAACTACAAACAGCTTGCTGCAATGACCGCTATTTAGAGTAGTCTTGCAGGAAATAAATTTACTGCAGAATATGTTTTGGGCAGTGTGTTTGGGATATGAAGAACCCAAATCCAGTAAGCATAATTTGTCACTATCCGATTTGGTAACCTTGTGGTAAAAGTCTTTACTAGTTGGGGTAGCCTAGTGGTTAAAGAGTTCGCTCATCACACTGAAGGCCCGGGTTTGAATCCCCACATATGCACAGTGTGTGTAGCCCATTTCAGTGTCCCCTGCTGTGATATTGCTGGAATATTGCTAAAAGCAGCGTAAAACCCAACTCACTCACTCACTCACTCACTTTACTTACTGTGCCAAAAGTTTGAATGGGTCAAGCCCATTTCTGGTGTACCAACCATTGTATTGCTGGAGCATTGCTAAAAACAGCATGACACTCACTCACTCATACTAAAGACTTGGTAATAATAGGTAACAGGTGTTTCAATGATAAAATAATGTATTAAGATAATTCCTTTGAAAAGTTAAAAAATGATACACAAGACTTTGTGTTGAAGCCTTCAAAAGGGAAAGCATTCTTTGATAAAACTTTTTCAAGGAAACATTTCTAATCCGCCCTCTCTATTTGTGAGGTGTTGAAGTTCATGTTTATATTTTCTGCCCGAGATTTTGCGATTCTTGAATAAACATGACATACGTCTTCTGAGAATGCATAAAGCCATGGGCCATCAGTGGCTGCTGGATTCCAGAGATATCAGTGGTTGAAAATAGAATTTTGCAATTTTAACTTTTTATTAGAAATAATGTGAAATGTAGGGTGGACATCTCTTCACATATTTCTATGATATCTGAAAAAATGTTGCTTGACGAAGATATGACTGCTGAAACCATGAATAATGGTTTTGGTTACGCACTCATGCCAAAATTAAGTTTTAGATTTTCATCCCTGAATGTCATACTTCATGTTCATATTATTGTCACAAGGTATACGATGTACAGGTGAAACAAATAAGCTGAGGTGCATCTTTGTTTGATCAAATACACCATAGTCCAACCAAAAGTTCATGTTTCATGTGAGTGGTAGGGTAACCTTGTGGTTAAAGTGTTCGCTCGTCACACCGAAGACCCGGGTTCGATTCCCCACATGGGTACAATGTGTGAAGCCCATTTCTGGTGTCCCTCGCCATGATTTTGCTGGAATATTGCTAAAAGTGAAGTTGATGAAAGTGGCGTAAAACTAAACTCACTCACTCAGTTTGTTGCACTTATTATAATAATGGCCGTGCTTGTAATTCCCGAAATTCATACAAATCTCATTCAGTTCTTGACTTGCAACATTCTGAAGTTTGTGTGACAACATGACCACGGTGAAAGGAGCCCCAGGGGGATCTGATAAAACAACACCTTTGGGCGTGAGATAATAAATGTAATTACCTACATTTAATAACTTCTTATCTCCCCAAGCTGAAGTCTGCCTGAACTGAAGGTCAAATTTGACATGGCTAAAATTAAACTACTTGAAGATAAGCTGGCACCTTTGTATTGCTCTGTGCGCATGAGGGTAAATAGGGCGAACTTGTTGTGCGAACTTACGAGAAATACATGAATAAGGTACCGTAGCTATCCACGTTGTCCCGGACGTTTGATTAGACCCAGTGTGTAAAAATAGGCAGCAGAGTTCATCAAATTGACAGAGTGGTGTCTTGGAACCAGGCTTTACTTTTCAGATGGAATCGTAATCATGATTTAAATTATCAGAAGAATAAAATGGAATGTGTTGAGAAGAAATTTGCTGTTTAGTTGTCAAAATGGTCATCAGAATTTTAATTTTGACATGGTGGAAATATTAGAAAATGAAATCAGATTTGTTATATTGTATCAAGTTATGTTGAAATGAAAGACTTTGTGGAATTGATTTTGTTAATTCATCTGCTTTATTTCCATGATCTAATAATAAAAAATCCTCAAAATTGTTTGCTTACGGCTTTGCTTGCTTGTATTGATCTTATTCTTCTAATTGATTTTATTTATTGATCAGAATTTTTTCTTTCAGTGATAACAATAATTTCTATTAATTAAAACTGCTTTCTTTTATTAACCTCATCAATTTATTTTATTGATAAAAATGTTTGTATTTACATATTTGGTGTCTTTCTTTTAATTTCTTATTTATTTCATCAACACTTGTGTCATTGATCAGATTTGTATATTTTCATTCATTAGTTTGCTTTCTGCTATTGACCTTCTTGTTTGTTTAATATTAGTTTTGTGGGGAAGCCTTGTGGTTAAAGCACTTGCTTGATACACCAAAGGTCTGGGTTCTGTTCCCCACATGTGTTCAAGGTGTACTGCTCAAAATGGCGTAAAACCATACTCACTGGTTTTATTATCAGTCTACGCTTTCTATGTGGTTCTTCTCAAATCAGGAGTGGTGGGGTAGCCTAGTGGTTAAAGCGTTCGCTCATTACGCCGAATACCCGGGTTCGATTCCCCACATGGGTGCAATGCGTGAAGCCCATTTCTGGTGTCCCCCAGCATGATATTGCGGGAATATTGCTAAAAGCGGTGTAAAACTAAACTCACTCACTTGTTTATCTCAAATCAGTTAATTTGACCTTGTATTTTTCTAGACCTTGATGGCTAACATGCGTCAGTGATAGCTTGAACACAGTAAAGACCCGGGTTCGATTCCCCATATGGGTACAATGTGTGAAGACCATTTCTGGTGTCCCCCCCGCTGTGATATTGTAGGAATATTGCTAAAAGCGGCATGAAACTAAACTCACTCACTCACTCATCTCAAATCAATTAATTTGACCTTGTATTATTCCAAACCTTGTTAGCATCCGTCAGTGATATCTTGAAAGCATGTTTAACATTAAAATTTGTTACTCAACTTTTGATAAGGATATATTTTTTCTTTCCATGATACACAAGACTGATTCTCATAAGATGTCAAGTGTACGCTCAAATAGAGTGACGTTCTCTCATTATCCTTATCAAATATATTACTCTGCAGCACTATGCTCTTTTTTCATATTTAGAATATTTACCATGTTTTCCCAGTGAAATTATATTTTTTTTAAATTTGTGTACAAAATTAACATACTTTTAATTCCAATTCAAGAACTGTTTCCCATGCATATCCTTTTGTTAACACAGAGCTGGTATGTAGGAGCAGTGTTATAGAGTGTAATTAATGGGAATCTGGTTGGACTTTGGCACTAATGTGTGGAGAGGGAAGCTGTGGCCGACAATCTGCAAATTAAAATATATTAGATTTAGCACTTCCCCTGTCAGCTTGGTCTGGCCCAGCAGTGTTTTTATGCATTTATATCAAGATTTACCATTCATCTACTGAAGCTCCCTGTTATACAGCTGACAGTGAGAATGCCCTCTGTATAACACAAGAATGGGAAGCATTTCAAAATTGCTCTTCAAGGACACAGTTAATGGACCAGATATGACCTTTTGGATTTGGTTGTTGGTAAATAAATTATAATACATTTTGGTGGTTTTGATACAAGAATTAAAAATTATACGTTATAGTGAGGTGTTTAGGAACCAGTGCCAAAGCCTACAATGATAGGGTGGTTATCTTGAATACAGCAAAGATGGAGATGTGTAGTCAGGCCTGGACAAGGCTGGCATGTAGTTTTGCCCTAGCCCACACCCGCCTGTCAGTCCATGATAATAGCTCTACTTTCTGTTGCAAAAGTCGTCCTAGATGTGGGTTTCATGAGCCCAAATTGCCATGGTGACTGCTGGGATATGATACACAATGAGCACTAGGCCTAGAATTTTAGCTTACTCAGGGATTTTTTGGGGGGTGATAAACATGATATAGCACATAAACACTAGAAAAGAAGCCTGTTGGATATTGCGATAACTTCACTTTTATCCCTGGTTGATAAATTCTTGAAATATTTAACTGAATGGTGCATATTATAATCTGTATGGGATGGGCAGGTGTAGCTGCATGTCGCCATTAATCAGCAGAACATGCCATTAAGAACATAATGTCTGTGTTATAAATGACGTAAACGATAATAAAATTTATCTCTTTCTATGTCATGAGAGAAAGTCATGTGAACAGGGCTGCAGAGTATAATGTTTAATTATAACTTGGAAACGATATAGTTTTGATGACAATGTACTCTTCCCACAGTGTTGTAGAAAACGACATATGCAAAGTTACCTGATATGATATATAATTATGTTTGGAAACTATGCAGTTGAGCACATTTCCTCTTTCCATAGCATTGTAGAAAGTCATGTAAGCAGAGTTAATGTAATGTATAATTATAATCTTATGAAACTTTGTAGTTTGATGGAAATCGCATTTTCCTCGGTCTGGTTGAGTGTTAAGTATGTGAGGTTGTAATATATAATGTATCTGAATTTTTTTCTATGTGGGTGATTTGAATAAGATTGAAATTGAAAAGGAATCCTAATGAGATAGGAATCTGTAGAATATAAACTTGCTATGAAATCACTTAATGGCGAGACTGAAGAGAAAACAGTATGGTTCAGGGGCTGTGAGATAGACGACATTTCAGCAGCTTCTGACCGTGAATCAACCTGTCGGGGAGGGGCCCTAGGTTGTCAGACTCATTGACTTGTGGGTCTTTCGGACTGGGGGTCATTTCTCACTGGTTTGATTGGTTTAGAGTCAATTATGTGCTGGCCAGCTTGAGATAAAACTAATTTGTTGACAGATAGATACAACCCACTCACTCACTCACTCACACACACACACAAAGACCTGCTTGAGATAACTGGAACTTGTTGGCAGATAACTACAGCCAATGCACTCACTCACTCACCCTCTGAACGAATCTCTTACCTACTGGAGCAATGGGGTAGCCTTGTGGTTAAAGCATCTGCTTGTCACGAGGAAGATCTGGGTTCGATTCCCAACATGAGTACAATGTGTGAAGCCTATTTCTGGTGTCCCCTGCCTTGATATTACAGGAATATTGCTAACAAAGCAGCGTAAAACCATATTCCGATGCTCGCTTTCCCCTACTCACTCACTCACTCACTCACCCACTTCCATGACACAGGGTTCCAATAGGTATACTCTGTGAGAAGCCATTTCTTGTTGCCTATGCCTTGATACTGCTGTAACTATGCTACAACTGAAACAACAACTGTATTTGTTCTACCTCACTCACTCAGCATGTTGTGTCGCCAGGTACCAACCCATGCGCTGACAACAACGGCGGCTGTAGTCACCTGTGTCTGCACCGTCCAGGTGGACCTGTCTGTGCCTGTCCCATGGGCCTGGAACTGGTCAGCACTGGCAAGATCTGCATTGTTCCTGAAGCCTTCCTGCTGTACTCGAAGAGTTCCGATATCATACGTATCTCCCTGGAAACTAACCGCAACAACCAACCAATCCCACTTCAGGGAGTAAAGAAGGCTCTGGCCATCGACTTTGATATCAACGACAACCGGATCTACTGGACAGATGGTTCTCTCAAGGTATGTCATCTTTTGTTCTTATGTAACCTAGATTGTGTAATTCTCAGAAACAGAAATGGTGTTTCTTTAAGGACATGTATTCATGTCATTGTTTGATCCCTAGATAAGAGACCATGTGTGTTCTTCCTTGTGGACATTTCCACTCAGATCTTATGCAATATTTGTTGGATGGCTACCAGATGAAAATATGGGTGTACCAATGTGAAAATATTTCCTGAGATTTGAGATTTATTGGTACTAAGGTGAAAATATGTATTTGCACTATCTCCCGGGATTTAATCTGAGATTTTGGGGTATCAAGACGTAAAAGGTGAAGGCAATGTCTTCTGATATAGGTTGGTACTAAGACTAGGTAAGATGGAGGTAATGCTTCTGAGCTGTGTTGTTCTAAGATGAAAATATATGGAGGCAACATCTTCTGAGATTGGTTGGTACTTAAAGATTAGGTGGAGGTATTATCATCTGATCTACATAAGTACAAAGATATTTGGAGATGAGTACTAAGCTATGTTCTTGCTAAGAAGAGGAGGCAGTGTCTTCGGAGATTCTACTAAAATGGATTAGGCAGTAGCAATGTCTACACATTTTCAGTTGCTACATTGTCTTAGGTGAGTTACAAATGTCCATATTCTCCACAGAGCATCAGTCGAGCTTTTATGAACGGCAGTGCATTGGAGCACATCATCGAGTTTGGGCTGAGCTACCCAGAAGGCATGGCTGTGGACTGGGTGGCCCACAACATCTACTGGGCAGACACAGGCAAGAACCGCATTGAGATGGCGAGACTAGATGGCTCATCAAGGAAGGTGCTCATCTGGCGGGATTTGAACAGTCCACGAGCTCTTGCACTGGATCCTCCAAATGGGTGAGACTCTTGTGTTTCAGAAACTACAGATATATTAATATTTGTCAAGCATGTTCTATAGCTGGAAAACCTTTTCTTCCTTTTTAATTAACTGTTTGTGTGTTCAAATGATGATGGCATGGATCATGTGTTTTAACGAGTTTCACACCTTTATGTTTGTTCTTACCTGTCTATGTCTCTGTTACAGGTACATGTACCTGACGGTGTGGGGCGAACATCCACACCTTGAGCGGGCTTCTCTGGATGGCAGCAGGAGGAACGTCCTCATCTCCAAGCTGGGTCGTGTCCAGGACCTCACCATCGACTACGGCGAGCGTCGTCTCTACTGGGCCAACTTGGACAACAAGGCCATCGAGTCCTCTGATATGATGGGTATGTAATGAATCAACATGTGACAGACGTGGGCACGTTCTTTGTGTAGTTGAAGCTTTCATAGGTTGTCTTGATACCGTGGTTGTATGTAATTCAAATAATTGGAACAAGGTTTAAAGATAAGCATGACTTGATATGCTAATTAAATGTTGTGAGCAAAATTATGAACTTTTAACAGAATTAAAAAAAGGTAGATGACGATATTTTATTTGTATTACCGACTTGACCTTAGTTGAATGCAGTGGTACAGGTTGATAATATGTGTTTCTGTTATTGAAGGCAAGAATCGTCGCACTGTTGTGCAAGAACAGCTTCCGCACCCAATGGGACTGACACAGTATCAGGACTTCGTCTACTGGACAGACGTGAAGCGCCAGACCATTGAACGGGCCAACAAGTCGAGTGGAGACAATCGCACGAAGATCCAACAGGGGGTGGAGTTTGTCATGGACATCCTGGTCTTTCATGCCTCAAGGCAATCTGGTGAGTGGGGAGAGTCTGGTGAGCGGGGGCAGTCTGGTGAGTGGGGCAGTCTGTGAGCGGGGGCAGTCTGGTGAGTGGGGGTAGTGTGGTGAGTAAGGGCAGTCTGGTGAGTAGGGGCAGTCTGGTGAGCGAGGGGCAGGCAGTCTGGTGAGGAGTCCCGTGAGTTGGGGGCAGTCTGGTGAGTGGGAGCACCTGCTGGGAAGGGCAGTCTGGTGAATAGGGGCACCTGCTGGGAAGGGCAGTCTGTTGAGTGAGTGGGAGCACCTGCTGGGAAGGGCAGTCTGGTGAATAGGGGCACCTGCTGGGAAGGGCAGTTTGTTGAGTGGGGGCACAATTTGGGAAGGGCAGTCTGTTTAGTGGGGGCACCTGCTGAGAAGGGCAGTCTGGTGAATAGGGGCACCTGCTGGTTGGGGCACTTTGTTGAGTGGGGTCACCTGCTGGGAAGGGCAGTCTGGTGAATAGGGGCACCTGCTGGGATGGGGCACTTTGGTGAGTGGGGTCACCGGCTGGATGGGAAATTTGGGTGATTTGGGGCATCTGCTGGATGGGAAATTTGGCTGATTTGGGGCACCTGCTGGATGGGACGTTTGGGTGATTTGGGCACCTGCTGGATGGGAAATTTGGGTGATTTGGGGCATCTGCTGGATGGGGTGTTTGGGTGATTTGGTGATCCTACTGGATGGGGTGATTTGGGGGAACCTGCTGGATGAGGCATTTGGGTGATTTTGGGGCATCTGCTAGATGGGACAGTTTGGGTGATTTGGGGCATCTGCTGGATGGGGTGTTTGGGGGCACCTACTGGATGGGGTGATTTGGGGGAACCTACTGGATGGGGTGATGGGGGGGGATGGGTTGATTTGGGGGAACCTTCTGGATGAGGCATTTTGGTGATCTGGGGCATCTGCTGGTAGCAATATTCTGTATTAAATGGGAGAACCCACTAGGAAGGACAGTCATGTGAGTGGGGGCACCTGCTGGTAGCAGCAGTGTGTTGTGAGGGGAGGGACTTGACAGGAAAAGTAGTCGGATGAGTGGGTGCACCTGCATTAGCAGCAGGAGGGTAGGGTAACCTGGTTAGAAGGGTAGTCGGGTGCATGGGTACACATGCTGAAAGTGCACCCAGGTGAGTCGGTACACCTGTGCAACATAAATGAAAGAATCTGAAGCTTGAGTGACTTCATTTCTTATTGTCTTCACTTCTGTTTTCACAGGCTGGAACCAGTGTGGTGTGAATAATGGTGCATGCTCACATCTGTGCCTGTCCCACCCCAAGACCGACAAGACTAGCAACAACACCTACTACTGTTCCTGCCCCACACACTACACCCTCAACATCGACAACAAGACATGCTCAGGTACGTCACTATGCATACTTCAGTAGAAGTAGTGGGAAGCCAGAGAAAGTTGTTCAAGTAGTAGAAGTAGAAAGAGTTTGTTTTTTGTTATTATTTTTTATTATTATTTTTCTTTTTTTATTGTTCCCATAGTAGAAGAAAGAGTTATTATTACCATTGAATAGGGCTATTTAGTCCCAGAATTTGATTTTTTAAATGGATACATGAACAGAGATAGATATTTTGCACTATTGTGAGTGTATGGTGGTGGTGGTGATATAGGTTTTGGGAGACTTGGAGCAGAAGTAAAGACTATTTGTGGCAATATATGTGAGTGTATGTAGTTTACAGTGAGTTGTCTCCCCTTGCAGCTCCAGAGGACTACCTGCTATTGGCCCAGCGCAATGCTATCAGTCGTCTAGCAATGGACAAGAAGGAGTCGGAGACTGTGGACAACCCAGAGGTCGTTCTACCAATACATGGACTGCGCAATATCAAGGCTCTGGCGTTTCGACCCGGTCGATGACTTCATATACTGGATTGATGGACGCCAAAAGAACATCAAGCGAGCCCACGATAATGGAACTAAGGTCTCTATTTCAACACTGCTTGCTGTAATGTAGTGTGTAGCTTTTAGACTAAACATATTTAAATTTTATTTGAGGTAAATATAGGATGGTGCACACTTCTCTTTAAAAACATGCAGCTGAGATGACAGTATTCATTCAGTCATTACCCGTTACATGTTTCAGGGCTCCAGATAAGGGCCGTATGTATGGATAAAAAATATGGACGATACAGTAGGAAATAATTTAGAAAACGCAGCAGATACGCACAACAGCAATGGTGTACGATCTTAGAATCATTTACGGACGCATTTATCTGAAAAAAGTATTGTTTGATTGTTTTTTTAACTGTTTACAGAAGAATAGGAATGCTGTGGTGAATATGTGAAACGAAACACATGATTACTGATACGCCATTAAATTCCTATCAGTACTCTAAATTTACTCTTAAGGCTTTCCAGTACTGCTATATTGAAAAAATAAGGAGTATGTACTCTTGATGTTGAAAAGTTATCTGGAGCCCTGTGTTTATTCTCTTTTAGGTTTATATGTGTGAATAGAGTTAGTAATGTGATGATTGTTTCCGCAGCTGGAAGTAGTGGTGCCGAACCAAAACAACAAACAGTTCATCCCGTTTGACCTTGCCATTGACCCATACTCTCGAACCATCTACTGGACATGTAACAATGTCATCAATGTCACGAGACTCAACATGAAGCCAGTCGGAGTGATCGTGTCGGCCAACAATATCAAACCCAGGTCCATCGTTCTACACCCAGAGAGAGGGTATGTTGATAGTTGTTGAGTTCCTGGCTCTTTGCAAGGTAGCAGTTTATTGCTTGGCTCATGCTCAACAGGGACGAAGGGGTAGGCTAGTGGTGAAAGTGTTTGCTTGTCATGCCGAAGACCTGGGTTCGATTCCCGACATGGGTACAATGTATGAAGCCTATTTCTGGAGTCCCCCACCTTGATATTGCTGAAATATTGCTAAAAGCAGCGTAAAATTAAACTCACTCACTCACTCGTGCTCAACAGCAACTGGTGGGTACCTGGTAGGGTGTTACTGTTAACGTTTTAGTAGTGCCTTAGGTTGTATACTTCCTTGTGAGCTGAGGTGAAAGAGCTGAGCTGAAAATAATAATAATTATTATAATGTAGTGTTATGGACATACACATAATGAATGCATATCGTCAATGTTGTTGTTATTGTTATTGGCTTGGGTGTAAACATTGTGGGACCAAACCACAGGGTACTACAGTACATTATGTCATGATTCCGGTTATTGAAAATTACCGAACGGCATTGAACTTTCATCACTGATCTAAAGGTAGTCGATGACAGTGTACCAAAATTTGGGTATAAGTTGTCTGCTCCATTTCGGGAATTACAGCAGATCGGCGTGTATCTCCCCGCCTGATGGCTCGTGTTCAATATCACTGGGACATTTTGTTATGTCACAGCTGTCTGTAAATTATGGACCCAGTATCCCATGTCATAAGAAGCGACTAAGGGGATCGGGTGGTCAGGCTTGGTTGACACATGTCATCGGTTCCCAATTGCGTAGATCGATGCTTATGCTGTTGTCACTTGATTGTCTGGTCCACACTCGAGTATTTACAGACCGCCGCCATATAGCTGGAATACAGCTGAGTGTGGTGTAAAACTCACTCACTATAAATTATGGAGTCTGATCTGGACATTAACAGTCTAATCCTCATTAACAGAAACCTATTTTGCTCTGAATCCCGATAAAACTGAGTACATTTAAGTACGTTGACCGGAACTGATTGTATGTGATTTGTTTCAGGTACATGTACTGGACAAACATGGTGAGCCAAGCCCGCATTGAGAAGGCCGCCATGGATGGCACAGAACGAATAACTCTCTTCAAACTGGCTCTGGGACATCCAGGATCTCTAGCGATTGATAAGAAGTCCCGCAAACTCTTCTGGGCTGATCACGATCTTAAGCGAATTGAATGTTCCGATTTGGAAGGTGGAAACAGGAAAATTCTGTTGGATGGTCTGACGGGATCTCTTAGAGGTTTGGCAGCATTTGGTGACTTCTTGTATTGGCTTGATAAAGATAATAACGTCATTGAGAGGATAAACAAGAAGAATGGAGAAAACAGACTGTGGATCCGAGGTAGGATAACAGACCTGAGAGATTTGATTGCCGTGGAACATAATCTCGAAATAAACAATCATCCATGCTCTACAAACAATGGTGGATGTTCCGACATCTGCTTCTCTCAAGATACTGAGACAGTCAGGTGTTCCTGTCCCCTGAATTTGGAGTTGAAGAGTGACGCCAAGACATGTGCAGACCCCCCGACTTGTCAGCCGGACTACTTCACATGCAAGAGTGGCGATATCCGATGTATTCCCAATGTGTGGCGCTGCGACAACCTGGGGGAGTGTGAGGACCAATCAGACGAGGAGGATTGCCCGAGGTGTCGGTCGAACCAGTTCCAGTGTACAGACGGCCAATGTATTTCACATGAGTTTGTGTGTGATGGTCAGAAGAAATGTGTGGATGGATCAGACGAGGAACAGTGTTGTGGGAAAGACGAATTCAAGTGTCGAAATCATAAGTGTGTACATAAAAATAAGTTGTGTGATGGCCATAATGACTGTACAGACGGGTCTGATGAGATCACTTGTACCCAGGGTTCAAGGTCGCCACCTCCGACTGCCACTCATTATGCAATCGCTATCGTCGTTGGAATTGTGTTTCTGATCTTGGTCGTAGCACTTGTGTTTATTTGCCGGAGGAAAACTAACCATTATCCGTTAGACGACGGGGACATTATGATGGTTAAGAAACCACTGAACCCACACTCAGAGGGTCAGTGCACCCCACCACATACACTATCATCACGGGGAAAGTCAGTGGCCACGGGTCTGTCTTTGGACTCGGGTAGTGGCCCGCCGTTATATGATCGCAATCACGTGACTGGAGCTTCGTCAAGCAGTTCCACTGTCACGCAGTATCCAAAAGAGACTCTGAACCCCCCTCCGAGTCCTGTGACAGACAGGTCATACGCAGGGGAGTACTACTATTCCTCTAACAGTTTATCAACTGTGCGTTCAAACAGGCCCTACAAGTCCCAGAAAATGCGGCAATATCGCAATCACATTCCACCTCCCCCTACCACGCCGTGTAGCACGGACGTTTGTGAGGACAGTGAACCTTACGTAAAAAAATATTATTTCAACAATTCAGTTGTGGAACTTATGAGTTACGACTCAGACCCGTACTGCCCACCCCCGACTCCTCGAAGTCAGTATTTTTCGGACGAAATGAGTTGTCCCCCTTCACCATCAACTGAAAGAAGCTACTTTAATCCCTACCCACCTCCCCCATCCCCTGTGGGGAATTCCGACTGCTGATAAACTCAACCCGTGCAAGTACCGACACAATCCTGTGGAAATGACACAAAATGTGTAAAAGTGGGAGTGATGAAGAAATGAATCGTGAATGAGTGAGATGCTGGAGACAAGAAGTGATACAAGAATTAATTATCCTTTATCAATTCCGACTCTTGCATTTTGTTTATGTGCAAGGTTAAGAAAGTGATAAGCAAAGAATTCTGTCTGCTTTGAAGGTCAGATGCCACATAAATGCCAAAAAATATTGAAAAATTTATGTTATAGCAAACCTGTGAGTGTTTAAAGATGTTAAAAGGTACAATCAGGTCTCAGTATACCCCAAGACTTTACTGAAGTCATTCTCTCCCGTTTGTTATTTAAATAATGAATATTTATAGAGGGAGTCAACCACATTGTCAAATGGATGTTCAGAATGCCATTGGTGTGTTTGTCATTTTACACAGAATTTTGTCGATTCTTGTATACGTTTTTCTGGTGCTGTACTCATATGATCAAAGATGGCGAAACCAAAAACTGATTTTTCACTGGTGAGTGGAGAGAGGTCATACTTCGTGGGACTAGATCCCAACTGGGCCAAAGATCAAAATGTTACTGGACTCTCTTAGTTTGTGGACTATGTAAAGTGCTCAATATGTATATAAAATGTTCTGTTATTCATCCAGAGGTTGTATATAATACAAGGGAGCAAGGTATCTTGATGCTATTTCCAGGGAGGATCAGTTGGCTAAAAATGGCACCTATTTTAGTGATGTGTATTCTCACATCTATTCAAGGGCAATTTTTCATCGGACCATTTCTTGGTTTATATTGCCCTTTAGATTATTTGACAGTTACTCATCTCAGGAATCAACCCTTCACGTTCTCTGGGTGGTACACTTCTCATCGGAATTTTGGCACAAATGTTGTCAGAAATGGTAGCGGTCTAGACAAAAATAATGGCATATGGTATAATCAGGTTGTGTGAATAGTTGTGATTTATACTCTTTGTTTTCGTACTTAGTCCTTGGAAATAATATCAAGAAAAAGCATTGCTCCTTTGACATGAAGACACTAGTCACATTACTTGCTCAGGTATTGTAGCAAGAGTAACCTCCCTTTATTACTGTTGTCTCACCTTGAGATGACCTTCACCTCATTGCCCTTGTATTTAACCTCTATCCTCAGCCACTTGAAAATATTTCAGCCGGTTCTTTTTAAATTATGGTTCAAATGTTCCGAAAGAAGTCTTTTCAGAATTGAAGACCTTTTTGATGGAAAATTCAAAATTATTTTTGCCAGTACAAAATTGGAATTAAAGGGAGTCCTCATCAGATGTGTGTCATAAGTCAGTCAAACTTTCGCATTTTGTTGCTAGTCATTCTTTTTGTTTTTGTCAGAAAGAAACACATTAGTAGTGACTCTGAATAAAACTTGTCACCTCTATGTGAATGTAAACTGTCTGTCTGAAGCATGGGCACAGCTTGTACTGCTTCTATTTTTTCATTGTGATTTGCAGACACAAACATTGACAGGTTTGGTTATGTCCGAAATATTTCTTTTTATTCAACTTTGATGAGATTTTAGCATGATTACAATTAGCAGTTGAATTTGTATGTACGATAAGCAGTTTTTACCTGGACATTTTAACTTGATTTTTTTGCATCACAATTACGATAAAAAAAAATAGTTGTTTCATGCTGAACACTATACCAATTCAGGACCCTCACACAGGCCTTTAGCTTCCTGATTGACTTCTTGTATGCATTACATATTGACTGTAAATAAGTGACTGAGGACAGAGGAATGGCGTTGAAAGGGGGATGTTTTCGATGGCAGGGATAAGCAATAGATTTGTTTGCAGGCATAGGCATGTCATTGATGTAGAGTTATCTCCCTTGGTTTCTGCTATTTAGCATTGTTATGCTGTATACCAAATCCTGATTAAGATGTTAAGGTTGCCTTTTGTATTTTATAAGTATTATGATAATCAAATATTATTTCTTTCACAGAACTATTACGATTAATACAAATGTCATGATGAAGCTTATTATGCTCTGTTTTTGTAGCAATGATTTTCAGTTGACTTCATAACAATTAATTCAAAGGGAGATAACTCTAAAATGAGACCATAGGGATATTTATACATTGTACAAATTCATTTGTAAATATACATTATGTGTGTGAACTGATTGTAAAGGAAGTGTACAAAATATGTAGAAATCTTAGCCAGAGAGGGTGCAGTGTCTTAGGGATCATTTCATAAGTTTTCAAGTCTTTATATGATATGAGCAGTATCTAAGCACAAACTCTCACTCAGCAAATATTCATAATCCATTCTCTACTTGTGAGAGTTGGTTAAATATGTGATGTTAAATTAAGACTTCAAAAAGTTTGAGATGGTCCCTGTTGTATGAAGCACCACCTATATCCAGTGTAGACGTGATATGTTTACCTCATTGAAGAATCAATGGTACCTCAGTAGGACTAAATACTGTGTTGAATGAAATGGCTAGGTGAATTAATATACATTATTTGTCTTTCTCTGACTATAATGATATCAAGAATAATAGCAACAATGTTGTATTAAGTATGTGTATAAACCATTTTGGTCCAAAGATACAATGTGATAAGAGTGATATAAGCATTTATAACCTAGTCAGCTGAAATAGGTCACTGTGACACAGTGTTTAAAACATGAAGAAATCCAGAGGTGGATATGCTATATGTTATAGCATGCCGATATCCTCTTTTGTTGAAAGAGTATTTTTATTGTCATTATGTTGGGAAAACTAATGACATGTCAAACCGTTGCTGGTCACACGACGCATCCAAGTTGATGTCCGTCACCTTGTGACAAATTACATTGTTTATATTGTCACTTTTATTACACCGTTCACAATGTAACTTACATACCTTTTTTTACTGGAATATGGTCACAGGATTTTCAGATATTTTCTCTGTCCCTTTGTTGTTTTGTTTGTCGTGAAGAATAATATTTGTGTGAATGAAGACCATGATTTTGTGAGTTTAGTCTGGTTTTATTGATGGACATTTATTGAGTGAGGAAATGTTTAACTGGAACTGTATGAAGATATGTGGAATACAGTCAAATCCCGATGAGTCGAATGCCGGTGTCTCGAATATTATGCATAACTCAAAGTACCTGTCGGTCCCGACCATTCCCTGTTATAGTTGTCATCATTTGAATACCGGTTACACGAATTCGTCTCATAAATACACACGATGACTCGAGAAGGAAATTTGGTCCCATGAGATTCAAACAAGAGCAGTCTTGTATACATAAGCCGAAGTCAGTCAATGAGAAGTTGATTGGTGTAGCAAACTGATCCAATTAACAAACCAAGCAGCTGCTCACACCTTTCCGCCATTGACGGGCGAGTTCAAAAGGCAGATTAGTGATTTTACGGAAATCGCTGTCTGTGCTACTCAGACTGGAACTGATAAGGTGCCCCTATTAGTGATAGGGAAATCATTAGATAAACAAAAGCTTAGGCGGAGGAATTATGACTGGATCATCTTTTTTCTACCCTCATAGACATACCTATGTCTCGAATACATCGATAAGTCGAATGTATTACTTGGTCCCCAGCGATTCGACTCATTGGGATTTGACTGTAGTTTTAACCCCTTGTCTGCCAAACAGTCATCAACTTGTTACAAAGTTCATAATGACAAAATTCAGTTATTCTGGTTAGGTCGAGGTGGAAATAAAGACATCTGTCCACACCATTACTTTGTTAGCAGATAAGGGGTTAACGCCAATCTTATCCTAGTAACTAGGCCTATTACTTAACATAGTTTCACAGTGAAACCGGACTTATAATTGTTATGAAAGTAAAGTATTATTTAAGATACAGCGTCAGTTGGGTGACTTCTCTTGTAGACGTTGGTTAAGTCATTGTTTGCAAAACAAGGTTCAGACCCCAATTGTTACAATTTTGGTCCCCTGTTAAGACATGGTTGGAGTATTCCTGAAGTGAAATAAATATTAATTGCACATATTAAAAGACCTACAGCCTATTGGAAAGGAATCCCGAATCTTTAGGAAGTGGTTCTGTTGCCAAATATTCAGTTAGGAATCACGGTTTTAAAGTGGATCTATGTACAAGTAATACCCCTGTGTGCCAAGGATATAGCAACTTGTCGTTGTGTCAACTGCTGGTGTCTTGACAACGAAGCCTACATGCTGGTGGTATGGAAAGGCAGTGATTTGAATGACTATTTATATATGTTTATATACATGGGGAGATGTGATCTACACTATGTAGACCTCTTCGATCTCTGCATTGTTTTTAGTTATGTAACATTATTTTTAACAAAATATTCTTAAATTTGAGGCCTGATGATTTATCCTTTAGTTATAATACATTTAATTTATGATATCAGATAAAACTGTGAATACATTTGGATGGAATGCAGATACTAATTCAGTATTATTTATCTGACTCTTTCTTAAATGCATTGAAAGTTATTTTTTGAATAATATTCATGTATATATTAAGGGGTCATCATATTGAGAAATCAAATCTTAAAAATATGTGGAGAAAGTGAATCTGTATATAATACTGATGTTTTATGTAATACTGTGACAGATTGGTTGCTTGGTAACAGTTTTAAGTTATGGCACTTGTTAAGGGACTGTAGTCTCGTTCATCAGCTACAAACACCTGTGTCGCCTTCCAAAGTGCTTCTTTTTGTTGTTGAACAGGTTAAGGCCATGACAAATTAATATACTCAACATAATAAACACCTGCTCGAATAATTAAATACCTCAACTGTATTGTTTGAAATACCCATTTCAGTATCATACATTGTAATATTTCATCCCTTTTGTTTTTTGTCATGAATTATACAGAATATTAGATACATTATTTGTATTTATACAACCTTGACCATTAAGCCAAAATTTCTAAGGTCAATTTTAAGTAAGTATGTCATTTTACACCTAATAGATTTTCGCTTGTTTCATTAATTTTGGTTTGGGGCATATGTGTTGGTACAAAATATTCAGTACTTTAAGATGGGGACCTAAAAAAGCTTGTTTTCAGTACAAAAAGTGATAGCTCAAGTTTTCGAGAAATTTGACTTTGAAGTGAATTAACCAAGAATCATTATCATGTAAGGTGTCTTTAAACAAATGGGCTGATCTGCCAGTGGAAACACCAATAACATCGGTGTTAATTATTGGTTAGAGATAATGAAATTGGTTATGTTTATGACAGGGTTTGTTTGTTTGTTAGTTTGTCATGGCTTTATTGGAAAAGTTCATTATGTACCAAAGTTTGATTTTCAGAGATTTAATTAATTTTTGTCACTGCTGATAAGAATTGTAATGTTAAAATATTTATATTGTTAATTCTACTTTTGAAACTCAAGTGCTGATGAGAAACCACTCAAGTTACTTATTTATGGATATAAATAGTTGTAGATATCATGTTGTTAGTGTGGATGTGTCACCATCTATCTGCTTCCTGTCACTCTTCTGTACCCACAATCCTCTCTTCTGGCATTTACCACAATGCACCACAATTCTAAAGAAGCATCAGTTGTTTCTCAAGCAATGTCTGTGTTTGAAAAGTAACAAGGAAAGAAAGAATCCTTGCCATAGCCCTAATGTCAAAGGCTAAGATTTAGGATGTCCCTAGATTCAATGCCATAGGCGCCAACCCCAAGGACCCAAGACTTCAAACACCTGTCCTTTGAAAAATTAAGTTGAAGATGCAGTACTGTGGGAAATGTGCTTGCAGAATATGAAGTTGTCATAAAATGTTTCCTGTTTGCTTAACCGATTTGGACAAAGCTGGAGAACAACATTTATAACTTTGCATATGATAGATGTGTTACAAAACCACAGGCCAGTTATTAATTGTGATAATTTGTAGATCAAATTTGTCTGCAAAGTTTTAAGCTATTTTATAATGATTTACTTTTTTAATATTTGATGTTTTATCTTTTATACGTCTTTTAGAGCCAATGAACTACAAACTAAAACCACACTTGGCAGCAAGAACTGTTTTCGGAGGTTTATAACAAACTGTTATGCAACAATTGTTGAGGAAAGAACATCTTGAAGATATGTATTATATTTAAATCGCTTTTGATATGTTAGATTTTCGAATTACACACCAAATGATTTGAAGATATTTGTGTCCTGTTTTGAGTTCCTGTTTCTGGAGATTTCAAACAGGTTTCTGTGGAGATGACGAGGGCTCTGTTCACGAGACATGTAAGCGCTACGACTATCTCAAGTGTGTTGGAGTTGAGATGTTCGTGGAGCATGGACGTGTTGAGGAATGGGGCCCTCTAGGGGTTCACTAACTACTTAGCCTAAATACTCAGTGTGGAATGAAGTTTGTTTGTGATGGAGACAAGTATCTTCTTTCCATTTTATTCTACAGAAGCACACAAAATAGCTAAGCAGAAAATACTTGTGTTGACTGATCTGCCGCATCTGTATTTTGATTGTGTATGTTTTGATGAGTTATATATGTGTCTGTGACAATGTTATGTGACATCGTGTGACTGCCATAATGTGTATACTTCATGTGACCTTGCCCTTCAAGAGGGCATGGTCATTCTATTGCCAAAAATGGGCATGGCCTCTTTATAGCCATAAATGGGTGTGGCCAATTTGTGTACAGGCTTAAACAGGTGCAGTATATACAATGCTTTCTAGTTTTATAGCAAACTGTATATCTGTACAAAATAAAATACAGATACTTATTAAATGTGACTTTGTGTTTTCATTGGAGATTGATCTGGAGACTGGATGCTGAGGACCAATCACTGCACTATTCACTTTAAACCTCTAGGCTACCCCACCACTCCCATCTTGAGTGAGTGAGTGAAGTTTTATGCCACTTTTAGCAATATTCCAGCAATATCACAGAGGGGGACACCAGAAATGGGCTTCTCACATTGTACCCATGTGGGGAATCGATCCCAGGTCTTCGGAGTGACGAGCGAACGCTTAAACCACAAGGCTACCCCACTGCCCCCAGGAGATAATTCAAACAAAATCTGAAAGCGGTTCAAGGTTGACACTGATCAAGTGAGGGAGGTGGCTGGGTTTGATGCTGATTATACTAATTTAATAGCAATATTCTAGTAACATCACAGCAGAGGACACCAGAAATGAGCTTCACACATTGTACCCATGTGGGGAATTGAACCCAGGTCTTTGGAGCGACGAGCGAACGCCTTAACCACTAGGCTACGCCACAGCCCCTCTGGTGTCTTGAAGAACATGTGGAAACAACAATCAGCAGCAGATGGCCTCGTGTGTTACAGAGGCACAATGAGGTTATGGATTGCCATGTTACTTCAGGTCATTTGGTATGGCGACCTTCCTGTTACTGGGCTTATGTACTGTCCACTATACCACAGATGTGTTGAAACATTTACACCCTCCATTTAGTGTTCGAAATTCTTGCCTGACTGGCAATCCAGCCAGTACTTACTAACATGCAGTGTGATGTTTTCAAGATAACTGACTGAATGAGTTTGGTTTTACGCCGCTTTTAGCAATATTCCAGCAACATCACGGCGGGGGACACCAGAAATGGGCTTCACACATTGTACCCATGTGGGGATTCGAACCCAGGTCTTCGGCGTGACGAGCCAACGCTTTAACCGCCCTTTCAAGATAACTAGCGCTGGCAGTAGTATATTTAATCACAGTTATGATAAGTCTCAAAATAGACAAAAATGAAGTAAAGATTAAGAATTCTTTTGAGGTATTTATAGTGAGAATATTTCATAAAAATAACCCACCCATCCCCCAATATTCATGACATCTAACTTTCTTGTTCTCTTAATAAATTTTTATAGATTATCATGATAGAATTCATAAATCTTTATTACTTTGATTCTATAAAATATCACTTTGGCATGATGTTTAATGAACACCATGGACAGGTAACTTTAACAGGGAGTGCCTGCCTTGTGGCCTGGTTGGAGATTTGGAGGAGTTCCACCTTACTGTTGCAGTATACCAGATTAGATCCTTGACACTGACATTCAACATTTCCTGTGGCGCATTAAACAAAGATCTTATGCGAATGTTGATCAAATTCC